TCTTTCCTCCTTTCTCTGCTCTCTCTGACAAGACTTTTTGAATAAATGACTTTAACTCCCTTTTCTTTTCATTCAGGCCACATTCCCTTTTTTTTTTCCCCTTGGGAAATAAAGAAGACTTACAGTGTGAAATGTTCCTTTTGTGAGTTTGTCATAAAAATTAATGAGACTAGAAGAACTGTCTGTGGAACTTGAAGAGAATCCTAGTGAATAGTATTTCTCTATCCATAAGTCTCTTTAATTTTTAGTTAGCAGGTAAACCAGGAGGGAACAGTAGGCAGGTATTTCTGTGCAGGCTCAGGTTGGTATTTTGTCCAACACATTCAAAAGCAGCGAGGTGAGGGAAATCGAGTTGGTTGGTTACTGTGTTGTATCTTCAAGTTCTCTTGGTCCGGATTTTTTGGGGTTGAGGGAGATAGGGTGATTCATAATAGAGCAAAACAAACCCAAGAGCTGCCAGTTTGCATTATGTCAATGTATGTAAGAAAATATTTAGATAGGATTTCCATTAGAAGTTCAAAAGCAGGGGGCTCACGCTGACCCCAGCTTTTAGAAGCTCTGGTGGGAAACCTGAATGAAATTTAACTCTGCTCAATGTGTTTTTGTTGGCTGACTCCATGTTTTATTATCTCATGCAATGAGATCTTTCTTGGTTTGTCGATTTTCTACCAGGGACAAAAAGTTCATGTATGTAACAGTGCGCATATTGAATTAAAGTGCGATTAAAGGCATGATGTAATGACCCCCTCTCCTTTTCCTTTAGTCAATATTTGCCTGCAGGGTCAATACATTACAATATTGACTTCAAAGTATTCAATATTTTTTTACCTTCTCAGTCTGTTGGCTTCAAGTGTGTGTAATATTAAACCTGTTGGTTGAACTGTTGGTCTAAGACTTACTGTCTAAGTAGTTTCAGGCTTGGATGCCTAATCCATGTAGAGCAGCTTTCAAGGCATGTGATAATATCACAACACAGCTGTAGGCAGCTTTCTGAGGTGAGCCATTTAATCTGCAGTTTTCTCTCCCAGCTTCCTAACGACTGGTGGAATTTGTGCCTCGGTGTGCGATGGGATTATTGCCCTCTCTCCCTGCTGCCATCATATTTACTCTCTGCAGGACCTTCCAGTGACTGGAGGTTATGTGGACAAATCTAAACCCCAGTGCTCCCGTCTTCTGTGTGCATTGCTGCTGCCTTTACATCTGTGCTCTGCTGAGTGTACAAAAGCAGCTCAAAAAGCAAGATAATACTTTACGTACTTGAAGTGCTGCACAAACGCAGTTTTGTAAAGTTCAGTTACAATTATTAATAATACAAACAGTCACACAGGGTGGGTTGATGCTCACTTCTCTGAACTGCTCAGTGGGCTGGGTGGCTCTCCTAATCCAAGCTTGAACCTTCTCACTCTTCATCCTCACCTGTATTCGTTTCCATTCCCACTCTGCTGACATCTAGCACTGTTACCCATGAGAAGGGCACAGGGGCAGATATACTGAATAATGAAGGCATCTGTAAACCATTTATTCTTCAAAAACGTGACACTCTAGAAAAGGGCTTTGATAATATTCTTTGCAAGGCGTATAAACAAACAGGATTGTTACTGGTGTGGTATATTCTTACGTTGTCTTTTTTAAAAAGTTAAGGAAAGAAAAAATATTTATAGATACCAAGAAGTTAGCAAATTCCTTTAAAGAAGCAAATGTTATAATTAGGAACCCACTGCACTTAGAACTACTCTACAAATAAGCACTTCAAATCTAGCCTAGTCCTTCCAGAGAAAACAAAGGTCAATAGGCTTCTTTGAGGATTAGCAAACCAGAATTTCTTGGACCAAGGTGCTAATTACTTCCAAAGCTGAGGATGATCACTACTTCCAAATCCAAGTTACTGCCAAAACCTCACGATAAACCTCAACAGTACTCCTCTCTAGCCCAACTTTTGAATTAAGATACTTCTAGACTGGACTCTAATTAATTCAAGGATAAAAAATCTAATCTGAAGAGAAAGCAGGATAATAGTGGGAGTATTCTGCTCATGGAAGGTTGCATTTCTGTATAACCTGATCCAAAGTCATTGAAGACTTCCCAGGTCACTAGCGGCAATTTGGGCTCAACCAGGGTGAAGTGGAAACAAGTGCAGCTCTGAGAATCCAAAAAGTGTGTTTGACCAGCTGCTCCATACCTGGGAAATGGTGTCCTACTTTGCCTGTGTGCTTGCAGTGTGGGGCCCTGTATTTCTTGCTTATGGTTGTCTGACAGGGAAGGGATGAGGGCTGGGCTCGCTAATACAGGCTCCTGGCTGAAAAGGTTTTTCCACGTGGTGTTTGAGGGTTTTCACATATCCACTGTTTGAGGATTCACTTGTATGTTGTACCCACAGTGGCTGTCCCCTGAGAGACCACAGTTTTCATCTCAGGTGGAAGAGGTGGAAAGAAGTATCATTTTTGTGATATCTAGGCATAAGGCAAAGATGTTATGGTAGCACTGGGAGAGGAGGGAGTGGGTCAGAGTTAAATATCTCAGTATTTGACTTTTACCTGCAGCCTACTGACTGCCTTCTGCAATTTCAGGGAACTTCGAAGTGGGTGTTCACATCGCAGACGTCAGCTACTTTGTACTGGAAGAAACGGCACTGGATAAAGTAGCGAGTGAAAGAGCAACTAGTGTCTATCTAGTGCAGAAGGTAAGGACAACTTTTCAACAATTATGCAAATTTTAGTGTTACAATAAAATGCTAGAGTCAAGTTTTAAGTTGCCTTCTTTAAAAATGAACAGGTTCAAATTCAACTTTATCGGAAAGGAATCATCCAGGTTTTATCTGTGGCTGTCTCATTTTCAGTTGACTGAGCAGAAACATTTCCTAGCTCCTCAGACACCACTGGCATTGTGCATGCAGGGAGCTAGGATGCTTGGCTGTTAGCACCCTGTGTTGACCTCAGTATCAGCTGCACGAAGAGGAGTGCGGAGGCAATCTCATAGGAGCAGGTTAATATGACTCTCTCCACACTCCCATTCAGTCAGGCTGAAATCCCTGTCTCTGCAGCCCTTACTGGGATGACAGGATATCTTTTGTATAATAAACATATTATTTACTGCACGGGTGGTGAGGCACTGGAACAGATTACACAGAGAAGCTGTGGATGCCCCATCCCTGGAAGTGTTCAAGGTCAGGTTGAATGAGGCTTAGAACAACCTGGTCTAGTGAAAGGTGTTCCTGCCCGTGAAAGGGGGGTTGGAACTAGGAGATCTTTAAGGTCCACTCCAACCCAAACCATCCTATCATTCCATGATATCCTGTCATTCCATGATATCCTACTTGCCACTTAGGTTCAGGAGTGATTCTTCCCCTCCCTTCCTGGAGGAGTGGCAGTGCTGGGAAACACTTACTAGTGACCTGCTGTTCTCCAGGACTGGGATGCAATGTGTATGTCATGGAAACGGCAGTTCTGGCACCAGAGTCTTCCCAGTCCTACAGTCTCTTCCCAGTGATAAGCTCTTGGCTTCTGCAGTGCTCTGCTTCCCCCTCTAATGGATGACTCGATGGCCATAGCTCACTATGGGAGATAGGGGCTGGCCCAGGGGCGTGTCACTGTGGGGCAGCAAATCTGGAGTCCAGGAAGGTGTTGTGACAGTATTTCCAAGTCAAAATACTGCGGTTTGAAGGCATGTGGTGTTTGTTTTTGTTTGTTTGCTTGTTTTGGTTTGTTTTTAAAGGGAGAAGGAAGATTTTTATATAGAAAAGAGATTTTTTTTTTTTTTCCCATTAAAATCTAGTGGAATTCAAAAGCTAGTTGAGTTTTCTGTTGAAGTACTTTTTGGCCCCAGCGCTACCAGTCAGTCACATGCGATGTTAACAGAAGCTGTCAGTTGCCTGTAATCTTCAGTTGCTTTTCAACTGCCTTGGCCCAACAGTCAAGATTAGTTTTTTACCCACACTTCCGCCCTGCAGAAAATATATTTTAATGGTGCAAACTAGGTTAGATGATGGAATGGTCAATATTTTAATTGCAAGAGATGAAAAGGAGAAACAGGATGGTCAAAGGAAAGCAGCTAGTCTTGCTGAAACAAAATGGTAGCACGACTCTTGTAGAAAATATGCTTTCCTTTGATGGAACTGTTTCCTTAGACAGCTCTGATTCTGCTAGAGGTTAGCACCATGCTAATCCTCCCAAAGAAGTTAAATAAAGCCACATATTTAGTTTTCCTGAACCATGGATCCAGAAGGGGAGTCATTGTGTAATTGCGAGGGGTCTATTTAATAAAAGTCAAAAGTTTTTGAAATAAGAGTGTATCAGGTTTTAAGCAAGAAAACCTAAACAGTTTCCTCTTTTTTGGCACATCTTACAGTGTTATTTTAGGTGTGAAGCAGCTCGAGTGAGAGGTCAGCCATAAATCCCTATAATATTTTATTGGTCCTATTTTATACTGGAGATCAAAGATCGGAACTGTAAGCCTATCTTCACATTTAGTCCAAGGACTTTGAGACATTCACTTTTGACACCAGCGGGTTGTCAGGGTGTTGATATTTTGATAATCTCAGGCTGAGTAACAAAGAGTTGCTCAAAATCTGAATTCATGGAAGTGTTGATACAAGTCTTGAGCAGAAATCTTGGCTCATAAACAAATTGCCTGTTTCCTTTGAGTCTCTTCTAGTGTATAAGCAAGAGGCTTGCTGAGCCCTCCCCATTGTTGGACCTCGGCGTCCTCCTCCCAGCTCTGGGGAGAGCAGCTGCTGGAAACCCTCAGTTAATACAGTCCCTCCCCATTGGACTGGTGGTGGGAGAAGGGGTCACCCCCCAAGTCAGCAGTGGTCATAACCACCTGAACCAAGCCAGAGGAGGCAGCCAAAGCAGGGTGCCAGTAGAATGGGGTTGTGTGAAGGGAGCAAATTTGTCTGTGTGTGAAAATCAGAGGGTTTTTATAACCAGAGTTTGTTCCCTTTTCCCTTTGGTCGACTGACTGATTTTCCTCCTTTGGTTCCTTGAAAAGCTGCTACAGCAAGTGCATTGATGAGAGCTGCCCTGGCTAACCTACTCTGAACCTGGCCAATCAGTCCTGGAGTCCTGGATGCAGATGTTTTCTGATATTGAAGGGATTGGGGATTTTTATCATCCCAATATACATGTGTTCCTTCCTGCTCTCTGGCTCCCTAGGAATTAGTCAGACACTGGACACTTGCCTTTGATTTCTGGAAGCACTTTATTAGCCAAAGAGGCAAAACAAAACAATACCAAAGGCTCTCACAAGCAGGAGGTTAGATCTTCCCATATCCAAAGTGAATGCACTGTGCAGAGGAGCTAAGTGGTGTGGCTGCCCATGGTTACAGGTCCATGTGTTTTATAACCCTGGGACAATATGTGGCCCCAGCAGTGTGTTCTCTTGCCTTGGTTTCCCTTTGCTGGCCACCACTTTGGAGTGCTGGGCCGCATGGCTGCCTGTGGAGGGGGGCTGTTGAGCAGTGCTGGAGTGCTGCGTCTCAAGCCAGGTACAGTAGTGCTGGAGATTTCACGTGTAGGACTTGGAAACAGGGAGAGAGAACCCCTCTGTCTATGATTTGATTTGAAATGCAGACACACATCTGTGAGCATGGTGGCTATCAGCCTTTCACTTGAAGAGGGAGGTGCCCTTTACAGCATCTCTGGGGCCCTGCTAGTCTTGTGGGGAGCGATGATGTCTTTTATCAGCCTAGCTGATAGAGAGGGTTGAAATCCAGACTGGCTGTCACCACCCAAGCTTTTCTTCAGCCTTAGTTTCTATGATACATTAATTAGAAAGGATTTTCTGGGGGCTATAGGTCCTTTTTTTCATTGTGAAAGTTTTTTTCCCCCAGCCCAGCTGGGTTTCTCCAACTGCATTTCTAGATTCAGCTACGTTTACCCACCCCCTCATTCCAGCTTTATGGTCCCTGTAGAAGCCCAGGTGACTCTATTCCCACCTGCAGGCAAATGAAGGTGGCCGATGTGATCGCATGGGGAGATGTGTAGCAGTTGGCTGAGGAAGCCCCAGTGGAGGTGATGTCCCCCGGCAGCGTTTCAGCGAGCCGGATTTCTGCCTGCCCTGGCACCCCACAGGGCAGCTGGCAGATGCCGCCGAGTCTTGGCAGACAGTCACGGGAAGGGCAAAGCACTTAAAACATGCCGGGCAACCTCTGGATTATTTGAGGTGATGCTGTGCAACTCTGATATTTTGCAAATCTGGGCATTAAAGACGTACTTAGACGCAGGATGAGAGATTTCTCTCCTTCAGAAAGGGATGAAAATAATCCTATTGCAAGAGTTCCTTCTGGGGAGCCCCTGGGATAACTCCTGAAACATGTCACTCTCCAACTATGACCCGATTGTGACATCTTTGTGTGTTAAATGCTGGGCTTGCAACTAGCAAGAATCCTTTCAGCCTATGACCGTATCGTGTTAAGGAAAAAGGAAATGTGCATTTATAACTGAAACTTCTCTGCTTTGTGATATTGGTTTATTCTCTGTGTAGAGTGTGAAGAGGAATCGTGGTGTTAAACCAGAGGGAGACAATTAGCCAAGGCTCTCACAACGTTGAAAACAGGTTTCTTCTTTTAAAAATTAGATAAAATTGAAATACCTTCAATGCAAGGTCACATTGTCTTATGTTATGTCTGTATTTGCTGAGCCCAGGAAGAAGGTGCATTGAATTCTTACTCTCCTGTGAGGCTTCCTCCATGTCTTAGGTTAAGTTACTTTGCCTGAAGTTTCTCTCCTGTAAAACAAGTGTGACAGGGGTTGATGCTTCCCTATTTAACAGTAGGTTTGTTACAGCTAATTGCTTGGTGAGTGTTTAGTGCTGTAATTATGATCTGAGTTAAAGCTTTGCTTGTGTTTCAAATCATTGAAAGCTCTTCCATAGAATTATAGCCTCTTGAATTGGATATTAATCCTGCTCAAGTACACTTAAAACAAGCATCCTATTGTTTCATTTGGGCTGTTCTTCATGGATTGGGCTTTCATCTTTCATGTAGGCATCTTTCTAGCAGACTGTTATTGCTGCAGGAGATGTGAAGGGAA